CACTAAGGCACTATAATAAGCAAATATTTAAGAAACTTCATGCTTATTTCTTAGCATATCCTTATAAAGCAAAATAAGCAAGTTTAACCAAGTCAGCAGATATTTTACTTTTAATTTAAGAGAAAGCCTACAAATTGTAGATGAATGCAAACCAGGATTTGTGAGATGAATATAATTTTGTATATAAAGTATTTTAAGATCTGAGCTTTGTTTTGAATATATCGCCTATTTCCGAGTCCTGAATTTAGCTAAACGTCTCTTTGCGGTACTCGGGGGTCTCGAGTACAATGAACTCTGTAATGACACAATAAAAAAATTATTAGTGATACAATTAAAATGTGTTTCCTTAATAAAGGGTTCAACATTTATTGATTTGACATTTGGTACACTCAGAAAGTGTCCCCGTCCCCTTAATAGGGGTGTCGACTTAATAGGGGTTTGCCGTTAAAAGATAAAGTTCTCATTTCACGGAAAAGTTTCCCCTTGACAGGGGTGTCCCCTGAAAAGCGCGCAGCAAGGGAGGGGTTCTAGTGAAATTATGAGCACTGTGTGATCTTAATGTGCTGTCTCTTATACACATCTAGATGTGTATAAGAGACAGGCCACAGAATCCACGAAAGCAGAAACGACAGAGAAACATCATCTGGTACAATCCTCCATTCAGCAAGAACATTGCCACCAACATCGGCAAATCATTCCTGAACCTTATTCATAAGCACTTTCCCCTTACAAACCCACTACACAAATTATTCAACAAAAACAACGTAAAAGTTAGCTACAGCTGTATGGAGAACATGGGTACCATAATAAATTCACACAACAAGAAAATACTAAATCCCGGACAACCTGATCCTGTAAACGGCAATTGCAACTGCAGACAGAAAAATGAGTGCCCGCTGGATGGAAACTGCCTCACCCAGAACGTGGTCTACAAAGCCGAAATCACAACTCAAAACGACACGAAACAGTACATTGGATTAATGGAGAACACCTTCAAATGCAGATACACCACACACAAGCACTCCTTTAATCATCGCAAGCATCAGAACAGCACGAGACTGTCAAAATATATATGGGAACTGAAAGAAAGCAACACCCCCTTCACCATTAAATATAACATAATAAAACGAGCACCCCCATATAACAATATCACTAAACGCTGCAACCTATGCCTAACAGAAAAGTATTACATCATCGCATCCGACCGTAACAAAACATTAAACAAACGATCAGAGTTGATCTCCGCCTGCCGTCACCGCAGCAAATACTTGCTCAAGAACTGTTAATTTCCACGCCCACTTTCTACAAACCTCACGCCCATCACTTATAATATACCTGTTCCATTTTCTCCCAGCTGTAAATTCAACAACACGTACGTGTATATATATATACAGTACCATCCTTTCTGCTCAATAAATCAGACCTGACGATTACATTGCATGAAACTGCAGTAGTCGAAAATAAAATCCTTACACGTATCGTTGTCTACATTATATTTGCTCTACCACGATTTTACAGTGGCATTGAGCACTGTTTCCCAAAAAATTGAGAGATTTTTTCTTTATATTTATATTAATATTAATATTATTATATGATTATTATAATATTATTATTATATTATTATAAAATTATATTATTATTATATTATTGTTGAGTAGCCTAAGCTTCTAGGCCAACAGTATTTCGAAAATAATCTTATTCTTACATTAATTGGTGTTGGCTCTGATGATATACTGTAGTGTTATTGCACATCATCTTTATTTAGGGCAGTTTTTAGACATTTAGGCCTAGGCCTAGACAGTTTTTCATAGGACCAGGCCTATAACTAGGCCTAGGACTATAGTATATTAGTAGGCCTACGGGCCTATAGGTCTATTTATGAAAAAAAATTCACTGGCACAGTGTGACCAAGTCGCCATGGCATGACAAGTCTAGGCTAGTAGTAGAAAGAAACCTACTAACTTTACCGTCAGCTGGATAACGCTGCGTGCGAACTCACCTTCTGCGGGATTGGAGCAGTGTCCCGAACTGGAGTGCGTACTGCTGCTGGGTTTAATCTTAGGCATAGGTGTAGGCCTAATTATAAACAAATAAGTCATCGGACTGATATACGTTTATTAATTCAATTGAATTATTCCTCCATGATTGAATTGACCCTCTCTCTGTTACTGCGTACTGTACGTAAAAGGTCACAAAAACTCACGACTTCACACTAATAGTCTAGGATGACAGACACACACACCACACATAGACTATGGGCTGTCACCAACCCCCTCCCCCTCGGGGATTTTGCGAGACAACTATTTTTGGAAACCTTACCCATAGAGGGTTCGGAATCAGGTTGTCTGCACATTGCGTAATGGTGGGTGAACCTCTGAGGGCGATTTTCAAAATGGCCGCTAATATCCCATAAGTAGACAAAATAGTCACTTTAAGAGGTAAAATTGATTTTTTTTTTTAGAACTGATGGCACCTAATAATAATCAAGACTATGTCAAGTTATCGATAAGGAGGAAACACTAACAAAATGTCAAAATGTGTTTTCAAAATGGTTACTGGGTTTATTTTTTGTCACTTTTAAAGTTTATTCATATAAATATTAAAAT